TTTACTAGCATAAAGTAGAATGCCTTCAAATTGAACCTTCTACTAATAGCTATTTGGTGTGGAGCCAATCCAAATTTCTTTTGAAAGAGGAGAAGAAACATCCACTTCGACTAAAGCCCTAGTTGAGCAATAACAACAATTAAAATATGTGAGTACAAAAATGGATTAATTGAGAATGTGAATGGTAGGATTTGGGAAAAATAACCGAAATTCGAGTGATATGGGGTTCTACAAAACAATCATACCGAGACATCCATTTAAATGTACAGTACATGATACATGGGATTTGGAGAGTGCCTAGGGTTTCCTATTTTGATATTGTGTTCAACAAAAAATAAATTTCTCCATGTTATTGTTTGAATATGTCATGTCTATAAATATACTTACAAAGAGATATAATTAGGAATTAGGTCAAAGAGAATAATATTCCTAATTATGAGGAGATTAGCTACTTTTCTTACTAATATATTTACTTTTAGTATTTAAAGTTCTATATAAAATGTCAAGTCTATCTAATGCGTCCTTTTATCTTCCTCTTGATATTTAATCTTGTTCCTCATGGCGCGTGACAATTGAGACATTGTTTGCTTTTTTCTTTTCGAGGATTATAAATTTGGTATTCACTACTCACCCTCCCTTACAAAGCCTTGCTTGAGTTGATTGCTTTGTGCTACAGTAGATCTATGACATTTTTTCATTAAAGAGATGCAATATGCATGCTATCCAAATCTTTTCTTTTGAATCTTTCAAACATTCCATTATGGTACAAGGAGCGTGAGTGCTCTAATTCCATTAGATTCACTGAAACATGGTGAAAATTAACAATGACATTTCTTTTTTTTCATGTCTATAAATGTTACTAATGTGCATATTAACTACTCTCCAAATGCACAACAAACAAATAAGGCATATGTCTTTCCAAATACTGGTTTAGCGCAAGTTGCATTTGAAGTTTATTCGTAGGAAGTATTACCGACCATGTTCTTTACTAGTTGTTGAGATTAGAGTCTTAATCTTACTATTTTTTTTTCTTACTTTCATGTGTCAACCAAATGAGTGATATGTAACTTTTACTCGTTCTTATAGTTTAAGTATAATTGTTGCTATATAAAGTTGAACTAAACAAGCCTTAGCAAATATTATTTTCACCTTAGTAGCATTGATATGATATCTAAATAACAGTGAATGAACTAGTCAGTTATCTTGGTTTTCTCTCTTAAATTTGGATTCAAGAGTTTATCGTGCCTTATCAGCCCTGTTTTGATTCGATCATTATTAACTTTTGTTGATTTTTCTAGCAACAAAAAGTGATGATGTAAGGATGGGAATGTTAAAATGAATATAAAGTGAAGGTAGGAGAGAGAAATTGAGAAAGAATTATATGGGAGGAATTCATGATCAAACCCCATTAATGATATGATAGTGAAAAGAAGACTTTGTTGTTTAGTTATTTGCAATGGCAGGTAGAAGTAAAGCATAAATTAGTTGAGCTCAACCTAGCTTATTGTTTGTTTGTGTTTGACTCATTCAAAATTTAGTGTTCTTGTGCTTGTCTTATGTTTTTTTTGCAAACATTGTGTTTTTATTTGACATTTTCAAATTCAAACCAATCACTGACCAATTTTGAACAAAAGAAAAATAAATAACTGAGTCAAACACCATAAAATCATTATAGTTAAATACTATCCAATTAATAAAACTAAAAAAAAATTAATTGAGAAAAAAAAAATTAATTGAGTATATATATATATATATATTTTGAAAAAGCCCAAGAGCAAATATATTAATACGAAAAATATACAGAAAGATTGTATGAGAGGACACAAAAGAAAGTCCAACTCATACAATACAACACACACAAAACCTAAATAAAGCAAATATGCAAAAAACTAAAAAGTCACAAAAGGGCACGGCACAAAAGTGCTAGAGACGTCCCACTTTAATCCTCCTGTCTTGAGTTCTCGGAAGTGAGCCGATTAACAAATTTGTAAGGTGAGTACCATTGCCCGTAGTAACCAAAGTATCATCCATCAGATTCTTGAGCTCGAGTAGATCTCCATTCTTCTTTTTCCTCCTGGATGTGTAAACCTGTCATTCTTCATCCGATGATTGACTCATCTGATCAGTAGATTCCAAAGGTGATCGGACAGGTGTAGGTCGTTGCACATCATGATCCCCATGAGCATGAGAACATTAACATTTTTCTGGACCTGATGAGGCGGTGGTGAAGCAGTAGAAGTATTTCTACCTGTATTATCGACGATAGGTTCTATGGCAGAAGGAGTCTAAAGAGTCTCCCTCTCCCCCACGATAGGAGGTTTCAAAGACTGGGGAGCTACAATTGGGGACTGGATGGTTTGTCATATTGCCTACGAGGATATTAATGTCTTCCGGGGTATCCTTCTGATGATCAATAGTGTCAAAAACTTAGTGCTGATCGGGATGAGATGAAATCATAGCCTCTAGCGGAGCACTTTGCTTTTTTGGTCTGAGGTGGGGGTGTAGATGGTGACATTAGAGTTTTGGAGTGGCCGAACATATGACAGTTCGAACAATACGACGAAAAATGCTCATTCTCTACCTTCTGCCAATATCCATGGTGCTGTGTGCCCAAACAAATTTCCTCAGAAGCAGGTGAAGTGATGTCTTGTTCAATAAGTACTCTAGCTTCAGATGGACGAGAAAGATTAAAAGTAGGAATGCTCGTCTTGAGTGACTTTCTGTAAGCTTAGGCAATAGAGTACAATACTTTTTGAGAAAAATAATGAAATTTCAGACCAGGGAGGCGAATCCAAATCAGAATGATTGGCGATTCCGTCTATGGGTCAAAATCCACAGACCATTTCAAAATCTTCATTGCTCTGTTATCAATCTAGATTATTCTTTTATCAAATAAGCGCATGTAATCTTCTTCATTGTTAATTTGAATAAGAACGTGTCTCCCATCTAATAGTCTAATTTTCCACTTTCCAACAAGGTGCATAAGTTCAAATTTTTTGTGAATGAGCTCCATTTTGGGATGACCATATAGAAATTTTCCAACCAAATTCAGATGACAGGAGGAAGCAAGTTGAATACCATCGTCTTCTGTAAAAAAGATAGCAGACTTTCTATTTTCCTACTAGGCTTCTTGATGTTCTTCGCCCACTCAAATGGAGGAAAAGATGATGATTTAGGTGTACCTTAGGTGTGAACACCCGCAAGGGCAGCAACATACGATCTGTTCGAAGCCATCCCAAAAGAGGGAGGTGAGGCTGTGGGGCAGCAAAGTGACATTAGAGGAAGAGCAAATGCCGTAAGGGAAGTTGAGTAGTGGGCGATTCGTTCGAGCCAGAGGAACGTGCCCCTAGAGAGAGGACAGGAGCCGCAGAAGAAGCCGACGCTTCTCGGGATGACGAAGAACAAGCCGCGAGCCGCATAAAGATAAAGGAACCCGCGCTTCTCGGGATGATGAAAGAACGAGTTTGCAGAAGAAGCCCGCGCCCAGACGTCCTTCAAATGTCGCCCCCGAGCCTAACGCCTTCACATGAGAGCCGTTGAATCACAAACGAGCCGCAACGACGCGACGGCGAACAGGCGACGAAGATGAACACGAGGAAAAACGAAATCGCAGTGAATTAGAGAAACCAAGGATTCACCATAGGTGAACCCTAGCAGGATGAGAGCAAGAGCGACGATGGCTTTGATAAGTCTTTGTTTGTAA